GGGGGGAGAGCTCCTATTCTAAATCTGGACGATGGGTGCTTGGAAAAGCCGGCCCTAGTAATGACACGGAGAAAAAAAAGATGTTTGAGTGATAACATGTGATAAACAGAACAACACACATACCATAAACACAAAGATAACCACAGCTGAGAAAAACCCTAAGATAAAGAAAATTAAATGTGAACCACATCCGTTCCAATTTTATTTCGGAGAAAATTTAAACGCGGGTTTAAAAATACTCATAAAAATAATTCAGACAAAAAAAAAGAAATTAAATAAAATAACAAGATTAGAATGAAAATGCTTTATAACATGTAAAAAAATTATGTGATTTTTACCCGTTGCAAAACCGATGGATTTGATGTTAGATATGATTTTTTTGAAACACCTTTTGTATATAAGACCTACTGGAGGACAAGTGACTGCATTCGCTCACAAGACACGACCAAGGAAAGTTTTCACTGCAACTTCGCCATGTCTCGCCTTCTTCTGTTTGTGGCTTTGGCCGGTGAGAACACAGCTTGCTTATTATTATCATTATCATCCTCGTCTTCACTAATGCTGTTGTTATTACTATTAATTCTATGTATTATAAGAATGGAACACTAACGCTTGGGTTTAGCTCTTTAAATGAAGGTATGCGCGTACAAATACGTTTATTAAATGTTTTGTCAGTATAACCGTCATCGATAACATGAGCAACGATATATTCACGTTAATCCACTTTATCTCATGGCTGTAGTGCATTAAAGTGAAGATATAGATGTCGATATTGTAAATGAAAACTAAAATCAACAGTTAATCAATAGTTAATAACCGCAATTTGGTTACGTATATTTTCAAATATTATTTTACTGTTTCGCTTCACCGTTTATAGCGATTGGATGTTATCATATTCCAATTATATAACTAAATATTCACACAGAATAACTTAAGTAAACTATCTATATGAGAATCAAATCCTTCATCCAGCCCATCTGGCACACTTATTTAGCCCCTAACGGCATCTATGCCATATTTTCCTTCAAGAACAATTTCTCACTCTCCCCTTCCATATATTTACGGCCCAATTTCCCAATATCTTCTTACGTGTAGTTTCGGCCCAATTTTTCGGTTTCCTCTTCTACACCGTCTCGGCCCAATTTCTTACTCTCTTCTTCTTCCAAAAACAACCTTAACCGCCGAAATCTAAGCCCAATATCTCACTCTTCTCTCCCCTCTTCCCCACAGTCTTTAGCGCATACGTCGCCAACGGTCACGGGCACGGTCAGCCCCCGACCTTTGAGTGCAAGGAGGACGGTATCTTCGTTGATTTTTACAGGAACTGCCAAGTGTTCTACCACTGCCAGGATGGCGTCAAGACCACGTGAGTTGTTAGGGGGGGTCTGTTTTGTTGTTGTTGTTTTGGGGGTAGGGAAGATTATCTTTGTTGTTGTTGTTTTTGTTGTTATCAATGTCATTATTTTCATTGTCGTTATTTTTATTGTCACTATCATCATCCGCACAGTGGCCGTTATCATTATCACTATTATAAATATCTGAAAGGGATAGATCGAGAGCAGAGAGTAAATGAAAATGAATAGAGGGGAATATATATATTACACACACACACACACACACACACACACACACACACACACACACACACACACACACACACACACACACACACACATACACACACACACACACACACACACACACACACACACACACACACACACACACACACACACACACACACACACACACGCACACACTCACATACATACATACATACATATATACACACACACACATATACATACATACATACACACACACACACATATGTGTGTGTGTGTGTATAAAAGAGAGAGCAGAGCAAAGAGAGACTGATGAAAGGGAAAAAGTTTGTCAGAGCTAGAGTAAAAGAGTAAAAAAAAAAGTATATCAAGACCTAAGTTATAGATAATTAATAATTTGAATAAGAAATAATAATAACTGGCTCCATGTTACCCACACCTAGGTCCGGCTGCCACAACGGATACCGCTATGACCTGGAGACGTACACTTGCCGACCCCCGGCGGAGGTCAGCTGTCCTACACCAGAACTTTGAGTGAAGAGACAGGAAGGAGAAAAAGAGATAGAGAGAAAAGGAGTGAGAGAGGGGGGATGAGCTAAAACTGTTAAGTGGAGAGGCCGGAAAAAAGTGATTGTGTGAGGGATATAATGTCAAAAGAAAAAAATAAAGTAAATAAATAGATAAATAGATAAATAGTTTTAAAAATAAAATAAAAAGTTAGAAACGCATTATGTTCTGGGCTTTTATCTTGCTTTCCCTCTTTCTTTATCATTTTTTTAATGAAAGCTAGACGTTTCTACACTGACAATTGCCTCAGCTCATAGTGGTTGTTTTAAATGTACGTAAACTGTTAATGCAGATCGTCCCCGTAAGTAATTTTGTGATATAAAAATGTTATATCAAAGTTGGAACAATAAACTCGATTCATTACTGAATTCTTTCGTTTTTTGTTATTTCCAGTAGTATGTGACGACGCATGTTAAAGAAAGATATCTGATAAAGATAGGAAAAGGAGAGAGAACGAGAAAAAGAAACCATGAAAGGTTATGGAAAGGATGGATAGATAGAGACAGATAGATAGAGACAGAGAGAAAGAAGGATGGCGTAAAAGGAAAAGATAAAAAAAAAAAAAACATGTGAATGTTATAAAAAATAAAGATTGTTGAATAGAGATTAAATAATATTCCGTGTGTATGCTGCACATATGAGAATACATAGACACACGCATATATACAACACACTCTGCTATCCACCTATCTCTCAGCTGCATTAATGATGTCCGGTAACTCGGCTGCCAAGATTTTCTCCTCATCCGCTGCATCTCCTACCTGTTCAGCATCCCCAGGTAGATCCGGGGCTAATTAGCGATAGTTTGAGCTGAGAGAAAGAAAGAAGGAGGGAGGGTGACGAAGGGGGGAGGAGGAGGAGAGAAAAATGTGAATTAGGAGGAATGAGAGGATGGGAAGGACAAGAAATTATATTAAATATAAGAATATAAAAAAGATGGGCGAAGGAGGAGGGGGAGGAAAACAATGAGGGGAGTGAAAAAAAGGGACGGAAGAAAAAAAAAACAATAAAAAGATAATGAATACAAAATGCTTAGATTCATACTTTTTCGACGGTATGATATATGCTGTTTGCTCCCATTCCTGCGAGCTCTAATAGTTCAGTTTTTTGCTTATATACCTATCAAATTAAAGTATAAATTTAACCTAACGCAATGGCGGCATACAAAGATGAGTATGACATCAACAAGACTTATTTACCATTTATTGATCAGCATATTGGGAGCTTTTTCCATAAGAATCTGGTCAGTAATAAGTCAGAAGCCTTTAAATACTACTCATATATCTCACTAAGATGATTTTACAAAAAAAAATCGTAGTCACTTTTATAAAGAAATAATGAAAACTATGATGACGAGAATGGCTATATTAATAATGATTACGAGGCTAATAATCATAATGATTATTATTCCCATTACTGTTATTATTACTATTGTTATCTTTATTATTACCATTATCGTCATTACCATTATTATAGATATTGTAATGATGACTATTATCATCATTACTGTTATCATTATCACGTAAATCAGCTCTACACCCTCTACCCAAAAATGAGAAACTATCATTGGCAGATCTATGCCACAGTTTCCCCTTCTGTGGTCCTACCCTTGTCCTTCATATCCCCCTATAATTTACTTTCCCCTTACACCTCCACTAGGGATGGGAGAGAGGGGGAGAGTTTACCATGAAATGAACATGAGGCTTCATCGAATCTTTTTTTTACACTTTCTGTTTATGTGAGTGTGGGAGGAAGTTACCACTCGCGGGCAAATGCCATGCACACGAGCAATACGCGACTTTTAAACTTTCCGAAACTTATATTGAAGACGTTTTTTATCCCTGAAATAGCAACGAAAATAATTTTTATTCAGCTGCATATACGTTTGATATTTGTAAATCTCAAAAGTTTATGTTATTTTATATTTATTGATAACATGAATCTTATTTATTAAAAGACAGTAGTGATGACTTTAAGATAGGACTACATCATTTAAAAAATGTCATTATATCTCTTCTTAGTTATTCTAGATTCCTTCTTAAATCTTTATGCATAGTGTTCTAATACCCTATTAATTATAATAAATCCTAAATGTATATTTCTCGTGATTTAACCTTGTTTTCCGAAAGTATATGAGATGAGACTAATTGGCGGCAATTACATTAGTTTAATATCATTACCATTATTTTCATTATAATCTTTATATATCAGTGTTGAATAATCATTTAAAGCACTATATTATTTTTTCGTAAAGCAATGTACTAATCTAAATAAACTAATGAACGATGTTGTATGAAATTTCCGTGAGGAATATATTAATTTACAATGTTTAAAAAGCAAAGCCTTGTCGTGAAATTTGCAACATTTAAAATAAATTGTTTTCAGAGTCCTGAAGGTAATATATTCATATCAATTTTACTATTACGATATTACTATTAATAGTGTAGATGATTGAAATCATCGTAAATACGGATCTCTGGAGGCTTTCAGATATTCATCTGTCTATCCATCTATGTATGTGTATATATATTCATACATACATACATTTTATATATGTATGTATGTATGTATGTATGTATATATATATATACAGTAAAACCTGAGAAAACCGAACACCCATGGGACTGTAAAAAATGTCCGGTTTGGACAGTGGTTCGGTTTGGAGAGGGTGGGCTTTTAACACAGGCCGCCTATTGAAATGGGAAGGGACTGAGAATATCGTCCGGAATGTAAAGTGATCCGGTTTTCTCAGGGTCCGGTTTTCTCAGGTTTTACTGTATGTATATATATATATATATATATATATATATATATATATATATATATATATATATATATACATACATTGTGTTCACCGATTCCCTATAA